GTGTTAAAGCTGGGGTCTGTAACATTATTCTCATCAATAACCAGGGGTGCACATAAGTGGTACGCAGGTACGCATGCGTGACAAATACCAGAAATGCGTACTAGCACGTGAGTTAGAAAGCGCTTTTGCGTACTTCACATGGACCAGACCTTCTCAAACAGTGGCGCGGTGCAATAACATCTTCCGTTCTGACCCGGGAGAAACTGTGGCCGCTCAGCGAACGCGCGCGGACCATAGACGCGCGTCCAGAACCATACACACGTGCGCGTCACGTGCACATTGCTCGTGTGGGTCTTGCGCCTGTCTCCCCCGTCTCTCCCCCATGCCTCTCCCACGTCTCCCCCAAGTCTCCACACGAAGCGCAGCCAAAACTCACTCACTCACTGAATTAAAGCTCAGGTACCTACATTTTTGCTTGCATTGAAAATGCAAGTTATTTGTGCCCAAGTTGTTAGTGCCACTTTTTTGCCAAACTCTTTTTGACTCATTGTATTGACAAACATGTGTTAGTCCCACCTTATTATTGGTTGTTTTTTTACCTTTCCTGTGTGGAAGTTATATATTTTTTTATTATTCTACTGAAGGATTATAATTATACACTGCATTTTTATTGACAAGTGTCAGCTCTCAGATTCTTTTGAAATGATGTTTCTATCTGCTCCAGAGGCCGAGATATCAATCCTTCTGTAGAATTTCAGCATTAATGTCCTGGTCCTCATCTTTCTGTGCACCCCTGTCAATAACACATGTTTAAAGCTCAGGTCTGTAACTTTAGTCTCAATAACACATGTTTAAAGCTCAGGTCTGTAACTTTAGTCTAAATAACTCATGTTTAAAGCTCAGGTCTGTAACTTTAGTCTAAATAACACATGTTTAAAGCTCAGGTCTGTAACTTTAGTCTAAATAACACATGTTTAAAGCTCAGGTCTGTAACTTTAGTCTCAATAACACATGTTTAAAGCTCAGGTCTGTAACTTTAGTCTCATAAATAACACATGTTTAAAACTCAGGTCTGTAACTTTAGTCTAAATAACACATGTTTAAAGCTCAGGTCTGTAACTTTAGTCTAAATAACACACGTTTAAAGCTCAGGTCTGTAACTTTAGTCTCATAAATAACACATGTTTAAAGCTCAGGTCTGTAACTTTAGTCTAAATAACACATGTTTAAAGCTCAGGTCTGTAACTTTAGTCTAAATAACACACGTTTAAAGCTCAGGTCTGTAACTTTAGTCTCATAAATAACACATGTTTAAAGCTCAGGTCTGTAACTTTAGTCTAAATAACACATGTTTAAAACTCAGGTCTGTAACTTTAGTCTAAATAACACACGTTTAAAGCTCAGGTCTGTAACTTTAGTCTCATAAATAACACATGTTTAAAGCTCAGGTCTGTAACTTTAGTCTAAATAACTCATGTTTAAAGCTCAGGTCTGTAACTTTAGTCTAAATAACACATGTTTAAAGCTCAGGTCTGTAACTTTAGTCTCATAAATAACACATGTTTAAAGCTCAGGTCTGTAACTTTAGTCTAAATAACACATGTTTAAAGCTCAGGTCTGTAACTTTAGTCTAAATAACACATGTTTAAAGCTCAGGTCTGTAACTTTAGTCTAAATAACACATGTTTAAAGCTCAGGTCTGTAACTTTAGTCTCATAAATAACTCATGTTTAAAGCTCAGGTCTGTAACTTTAGTCTAAATAACACATGTTTAAAGCTCAGGTCTGTAACTTTAGTCTAAATAACACTTGTTTAAAGCTCAGGTCTGTAACTTTAGTCTAAATAACTCATGTTTAAAGCTCAGGTCTGTAACTTTAGTCTAAATAACTCATGTTTAAAGCTCAGGTCTGTAACTTTAGTCTAAATAACACATGTTTAAAGCTCAGGTCTGTAACTTTAGTCTAAATAACACATGTTTAAAGCTCAGGTCTGTAACTTTAGTCTAGGGATGCATCGATTCTGCTTTTTTCAAGTACCTTAATTTGAGTACTTGCCGATACTGATACAAGTGCATTGTGTTATCTCTGGGATTATTCATGAAACTACTGCAACTGGAATACAAAATGTTTTATTTAGCATTTCAACAATAAGAACATGCTTTAAATTAAATTGATTAAACAGTCAACAATAAGAGCCGCTGTCATATTCCACTCATACAAATGGTATAAAGAAATAGCTCTGGGGCTAGCAAAGGTGCTAGCTCTTCTGCTAAGGTGCTAGCTCTTCTGCAAAGGTGCTAGCTCTTCTGCTAGCCAAGATGTTCTACTCCAGGTGTGGTGATTTTTGCTGGTGTTATACATGTTGGTTTTACACAGCTAAGTCCACTTTACTCTCGTCACTCATTTACTTTAAAAATCAGCGATACGGCCGACCTCGTGTCCGCTAACAGTCCTTTTTGCTGCTGCCTTTGGGAGATCACCATGGTAACACATGCCACACGCTGTCTGCTGTCGTGACACTGATGTAAATAAAAAATGTGAGTATCGGTTCCGGCTTCAGGTCCTGTGAGTACGAGTACAAGCTTATAGTATCGACACGATACCAGTATCAGTATCGATGCATCTTAGTCTTATCAATAACACAAGTAGAGTTAACACAGAACTCCCAGAACCGTCAGTTTAAAAGTATAACAATGAAATGATCTTCTATTTTTGAGGAGTTTTAATTCAAATAGTTATTTTTTTGGTTGCTTTCTTTCCATGGCAGTTAAATCCCCTTTTCAAGGTGCTACACTGGACTGGTTTTGGACTCGGCCTGGTTCAGCATGGGTTTCCTCTACACTAGCGAAAAGCAAGTGCTGTTACCATAGCAACACACTCCGGTCAGCCGTTAGCTTTGAGGTCTTTAGCATTAAAGCAAAGCAGCAGAGGTGGAGTAGCCTCTGGGTGGAGCAGGACGGGTCAAAGCAGCAGAGGTGGAGTAGTCTCTGGGTGGAGCAGGACGGGTCACAGCAGCAGAGGTGGAGCAGCCTCTGGGTGGAGCAGGACGGGTCAAAGCAGCAGAGGTGGAGTAGTCTCTGGGTGGAGCAGGACGGGTCACAGCAGCAGAGGTGGAGTAGCCTCTGGGTGGAGCAGGACAGGTCACAGCAGCAGAGGTGGAGTAGTCTCTGGGTGGAGCAGGACGGGTCAAAGCAGCAGAGGTGGAGCAGCCTCTGGGTGGAGCAGGACGGGTCACAGCAGCAGAGGTGGAGCAGCCTCTGGGTGGAGCAGGACGGGTCACAGCAGCAGAGGTGGAGTAGTCTCTGGGTGGAGCAGGACGGGTCACAGCAGCAGAGGTGGAGCAGCCTCTGGGTGGAGCAGGACGGGTCAAAGCAGCAGAGGTGGAGTAGTCTCTGGGTGGAGCAGGACGGGTCACAGCAGCAGAGGTGGAGTAGCCTCTGGGTGGAGCAGGACAGGTCACAGCAGCAGAGGTGGAGTAGTCTCTGGGTGGAGCAGGACGGGTCAAAGCAGCAGAGGTGGAGCAGCCTCTGGGTGGAGCAGGACGGGTCACAGCAGCAGAGGTGGAGCAGCCTCTGGGTGGAGCAGGACGGGTCACAGCAGCAGAGGTGGAGTAGTCTCTGGGTGGAGCAGGACGGGTCACAGCAGCAGAGGTGGAGCAGCCTCTGGGTGGAGCAGGACGGGTCAAAGCAGCAGAGGTGGAGTAGTCTCTGGGTGGAGCAGGACGGGTCAGAGCAGCAGAGGTGGAGTAGTCTCTGGGTGGAGCAGGACGGGTCACAGCAGCATTAGCCTCTGAACAAAATATTGGGTGTATTTAAATATTATATCTCACTGTAGTCGCCAGCTTTAGCTCTTATTGGGTGAGAGGAACAGTAAAAAACATATGTATTACTTACTACCTAAATGGCGGCTCAGGGAGTTCCTGTAGTTTTATATTTCTGGGAATACTGATTTTAAAGACATAAGTGAAGTCCAACCTGAGGGGGGAGAGGGGGGAGAGGGGGGTGAGACCTGAGACCCCCGGGAGCCTGCCTCCTCTGAGCCGGTTATCTGGACTCGGCTTTTCCCAAAACCCTGTGGAGGATTTAGAGCCGAGCGGGAGCGCGCACTGACACTGGCTGAGCGCGTGCACGCGGAGACGAGGGTTTGTGGTTTAAATACAGCGCTGTTCTGGTCTGGACCGGTCTGGAATAATAATATTAACAGTATTAACAATAATATTAATATTTACAGTCTCGGGTCTGGACACGTCGGTCTCTCATCACGGACTGACCAGGCCTCCACCCGCTCCGCTGTCTCGACTTTACAAAGGACAGAGGACTCGGGACTTTCGTTTTATTTTACATTTCACTGTACGTCGCTCTGTCCCTGTGTCACTCTGTTCTGTCCCTGTGTCCCTCTGTTCTGTTCTGTCCCTGTGTCACTCTGTTCTGTCCCTGTGTCCCTCTGTTCTGTTCTGTCCCTGTGTCACTCTGTTCTGCCCCTGTGTCCCTCTGTTCTGTTCTGTCCCTGTGTCACTCTGTTCTGTCCCTGTGTCCCTCTGTTCTGTTCTGTCCCTGTGTCACTCTGTTCTGTCCCTGTGTCACTCTGTTCTGTCCCTGTGTCCCTCTGTTCTGTTCTGTCCCTGTGTCACTCTGTTATGTCCCTGTGTCCCTCTGTTCTGTCCCTGTGTCCCTCTGTTCTGTTCTGTCCCTGTGTCACTCTGTTCTGTCCCTGTGTCCCTCTGTTCTGTTCTGTCCCTGTGTCACTCTGTTCTGTCCCTGTGTCCCTCTGTTCTGTTCTGTCCCTGTGTCACTCTGTTCTGTCCCTGTGTCCCTCTGTTCTGTCCCTGAGTCACTCTGTTCTGCCCCTGTGTCCCTCTGTTCTGTTCTGTCCCTGTGTCACTCTGTTCTGTCCCTGTGTCACTCTGTTCTGCCCCTGTGTCCCTCTGTTCTGTTCTGTCCCTGTGTCACTCTGTTCTGTCCCTGTGTCCCTCTGTTCTGTTCTGTCCCTGTGTCACTCTGTTCTGCCCCTGTGTCCCTCTGTTCTGTTCTGTCCCTGTGTCACTCTGTTCTGTCCCTGTGTCACTCTGTTCTGTCCCTGTGTCCCTCTGTTCTGTTCTGTCCCTGTGTCACTCTGTTCTGTCCCTGTGTCACTCTGTTCTGTCCCTGTGTCCCTCTGTTCTGTTCTGTCCCTGTGTCACTCTGTTCTGTCCCTGTATCGTTTCTCACGCGCGCATTTGTCTCGTGCTGAACAAAACACGAGGGCTTTATTATTATTATCATTATTATTATTATCATTATTATTATTATCATTATTATCATTATTATTATTATCATTATTATCATTATCATTATTATTATTATCATTATTATTATTATTATTATTATCATTATCATTATTATCATTATCATTATTATCATTATCATTATTATTATTATCATTATTATTATTATTATTATTATTATCATTATCATTATTATCATCATGATTATTATCATTATTATTATTTCCACATATTACGTTACGTATCACGCAGACAGAGACCCGGGCCTCGCAGGCTCCGCTCGGTCCGCGGCCTGTACTCGGTCCGCGGGTTGAAGGCCGGTGTGAGGTTTTATTGTAATGACGTAGTTTTAAACAGTTTAATGTGAGCGTAATAACGTCATAATAAAAAGCGGCGTCAGGAGCTGTCCGTGAGGCGCTCGGCGGCACCTCCTCCTCCTCCTCTTCCTCCTTCTGAAGCACGAGGCCTCTTCGCGGGAGGCCGCGTCAGAACAGTTTTTACGGAGACTTTAAAATCCTCCAGTTTTTATAACGTCGGCGTGCCGCGGATCATGTTTGATCTCTCTGTGATGTAGAATACATTAAGTATAAGAAGTACATGAAATATATAAAGTATAATTAATTCAGCTGAGGCCCGTGGACAGAGGTTAAAGCTCAGGGACGTAACTTTAGTCTCGAGCTAATGTGGTTTGAAAGTTAAGATCCTCAGCTTTAAGTTTGAAATAAAAGTCACAGTTTCATTTGAATGTTTTATTTACAAAGTCTCAGATTGTATAAACACAGGTCTGAACAGCTGCAAGGTCTGCGCTGCATTAAAACACCACATTTTAAATATTATTCCTGTTTTCTTAAGTTTGACTTATTTTCTTTCAGAAACAAAAACAAAATTTTTCACAGAAAAAATTAACTTTAAAAAACAATAATTCAAAAATAAATAATCTTCAATATAAATAGGACGAATAAATAAATATTTCACAAAAAAGTTTTTAAGACACGCCCCTTTAAGACCTTTAGGACTTTCACAAAACCATTTTTAACTAAAATTCTGTTTTAAACAAAAAAACATCTGAACAAAAGAAAAGGATGAAGTTTAAGACTCACAGTTCGTCCAGAGGCGACGCGGCTACTGCTGCTGTTACTGCTGTTACTGCTGCTGTTACTGCTGCTGTTACTGCTGCTGTTACTGCTGCTGTTACTGCTGCTGTTACTGCTGTTGTTACTGCTGCTGTTACTGCTGATGTTACTGCTGCTGTTACTGCTGTTACTGCTGCTGTTACTGCTGCTGTTACTGCTGTTACTGCTGCTGTTACTGCTGCTGTTACTGCTGCTGTTACTGCTGTTACTGCTACTGTTACTGCTGCTGTTACTGCTGCTGTTACTGCTGCTGTTACTGCTGATGTTACTGCTGTTACTGCTGCTGTTACTGCTGCTGTTACTGCTGCTGTTACTGCTGCTGCTGCTGCTGTTACTGCTGCTGTTACTGCTGCTGTTACTGCTGCTGTTACTGCTGCTGCTGCTGTTACTGCTGCTGTTACTGCTGCTGTTACTGCTGTTACTGCTGCTGTTACTGCTGTTGTTACTGCTGCTGTTACTGCTGCTGCTGCTGTTACTGCTGCTGTTACTACTGTTACTGCTGTTACTGCTGTTGTTACTGCTGCCGTTACTGCTGCTGTTACTACTGTTACTGCTGTTACTGCTGTTGTTACTGCTGCCGTTACTGCTGCTGTTACTACTGTTGTTACTGCTGCCGTTACTGCTGCTGTTACTGCTGGTGTTACTGCTGCCGTTACTGCTGCTACTGCTGTTACTGCTGCTGTTACTACTGTTGTTACTGCTGCTTACTGTTACTGCTGCTGTTACTGCTGTTGTTACTGCTGCCGTTACTGCTGCTGTTACTGCTGGTGTTACTGCTGCCGTTACTGCTGCTACTGCTGTTGCTGCTGCTGTTACTGCTGCTGCTGTTACTGCTGCTGTGCCTTTGGACCAAACACGTCTGTGGTGGATTGGATTTCTGAAGGACTGAGCTTTTCATGAGAGTCTCTCAGTCTGAGTTTGTGGACCTCAGGTTCAGACCTCAGGTTCAGACCTCAAGTACAGACCTCAGGTACAGACCTCGGGTACAGTCCTGGACTAGCGTCCGTCCCCGGGCCTCAGGGAGAAGTTTCTTGCCTGCACTTTGTCCTTGTAGACCTCAGACGTGAACCTCTCTCGATCCTGGAGAAGTCTGTCGTACTTGTCCTTAAAGGGGTCTTTGGTCTGGTTGTGGTTTTGGACCTGGCCTTGGGCCTGGTTTTGTACCTGGCTTTGGGTCTGGCTGTGGACCAGGTCTCGGCTCAGCCTCTCGTACTTGTCCTTGTAGAGGTCTCGCTCTTTGCTGATCCGGAGCAGGTCTTGCTGGAGCTGGGAGACCTGATTTTGCAGTGAGGTCTTCTCGCTCTCCAGCAGGTGGCGCTGTTGGACTCGTTTGAAACGACACGACTGAGCGTAGCCGCGGTTCTTCAGTGTGCGGCGCTTCTGCTTCAGGCGGATCACGTCCTCCTTCGAGAAGCCGCGGAGCTGCCGGTTCAACTCCCGCACTGTCATGGAGACGAGCTGGTCATCAGAGAAGCGGTCCTCCAAGCGCCCATGGACCTACGAGCAAGACACCAGAGGAATACAACCCTTTGTGATGCTAATAATAATTGGACGCTCAAAGTCTCTTCACGTGTCATTATTCATTCACTCCAAACACAGTGGTGATAAACTACTACTGTAGCCACAGCTGCCCTGGGGCACACTGACAGAAGCGAGGCAACCAGTCTGTGCCATCAGCCCCTCCCACCACCACCAACCATTCACACACACACACCAGACTCATTCCAATGTGGGGGAAGTGTCTTGCCTAAAGACACAACCACAGTTTGGTACTTTACAGCCGCAGCCGCCCCACTGTTTGCCTGGCCTGCCAGACACTCCTCCTTTCTGTTCAAAAGAAGAACCGTCTGGACACCTCTTCCTAGCCTATCATTTCACGATTTTACCCACATCGGTCCAATCACGCACCGAGAGGCGGGACTTCCTTTCACCTTTGAGTTGCTAATAACTCCTCGTATCTTTAAGTTTTTGTTACAAAATCGACAGCAGTCGTTTACATTTGCACTAGCTGACATGCCGCCATCCCGTGTTTTGTGTTTACTGAAACGGCTTGGGTGCCGCTAGTTGCTGCGTCATATCCTGTGTGCATCTAATTGGTTGATGCAGTCTGTCAACCACGCCCACCGGGAATTCGCTGAGATCAAGCTCGTTCCCAGACTATATGTCTTTGAAAAAGCATATCGTTTGGCAGGCCAGGCAACCCCACTGTGGCACCTGGTGTTCCCAGAGGTCTCCCATCACAGCACTAACCAGGCCCTGCCCTGCTTAGCTTTAGAAGTCTGACGGGATCTGACTTTCAGGTATAGTGCTCTTACCCCTTGTGTGTGGGCGGGGCCTCGTGTGTGGGCGTGGTCTTGTGTGGGCGTGGCCTCGTACCTGTACTTGGCTGTGCAGTTGGCTGAGGTGATGATGATGATGGTGCTCTTCGTACGTTCCTCTGAAGTCGTAGTGATGAGGGTTGGAGCCGATCAGAGCCTCCACCGCATCCTCAGGAGTCAGACTCAGAGGGTCCGGACCGGGGTGAGGCTGGTACCCCCCCACCTGGGACAGCACGACAGTTACTATACTGCTACTGCTGGTGTAGAGAGACCAGAGAGGGACCTGAGAGAGACCAGAGAGAGACCAGAGAGAGAGACCAGAGAGAGAGACCAGAGAGAGACCAGAGAGAGAGACCAGAGAGAGAGACCAGAGAGAGAGACCAGAGAGAGAGACCAGAGAGAGAGACCAGAGAGAGAGACCAGAGAGAGAGACCAGAGAGAGACCAGAGAGAGACCAGAGAGAGACCAGAGAGAGAGACCAGAGAGAGACCAGAGAGAGACCAGAGAGAGACCAGAGAGAGACCAGAGAGAGAGACCAGAGAGAGAGACCAGAGAGATACCAGAGAGAGAGAGACCAGAGAGAGACCAGAGAGAGAGACCAGAGAGGGACCAGAGAGAGACCAGAAAGAGATCAGAAAGAGATCAGAGAGAGACCAGAGAGAGACCAGAGAGAGACCAGAGAGAGACCAGAGAGAGACCAGAGAGAGACCAGAGAGAGGGACCAGAGAGAGGGACCAGAGAGAGGGACCAGAGAGAGACCAGAGAGAGAGACCAGAGAGAGAGACCAGAGAGAGAGACCAGAGAGAGAGACCAGAGAGAGACCAGAGAGACCAGAGAGCGGGACCAGAGAGCGGGACCAGAGAGCGGGACCAGAGAGAGGGACCAGAGAGAGACCAGAGAGCGGGACCAGAGAGAGGGACCAGAGAGAGACCAGAGAGAGACCAGAGAGAGAGACCAGACAGAGGAACCAGAGAGAGACCAGAGAGAGAGACCAGACAGAGGAACCAGAGAGAGACCAGAGAGAGAGACCAGAGAGAGACCAGAGAGAGACCAGAGAGAGACCAGAGAGAGACCAGAGAGAGACCAGAGAGAGACCAGAGAGACCAGAGAGCGGGACCAGAGAGAGGGACCAGAGAGAGACCAGAGAGCGGGACCTGAGAGAGGGACCAGAGAGAGACCAGAGAGAGACCAGAGAGAGACCAAAGAGAGACCAGAGAGAGACCAGAGCGAGACCAGAGAGTATAAAGAACCAAGCTGCCATAGATGTTAAAGGGCCACTGAGCAATGGGGGACAGAGACTTATGCTCAGGGTCAGGAGAGTGTGTGACATCATCATTATTAAACAGGAAACACCTCTGGTTTTTGTGCTGATTCAAACTGATTTCCAAGTTAAATGAATGAGACGCCACAACAGCTCACTCAAACCACAGACACACTCACCCAGTAGACGTCCTCGTGGCCCTTGGCAGGCCCGGGGCCCACACCGGCCCCTGGGGTCCCATGCTGGGGGCTGGGCGTACAGAAGCTGGGGGATGAGGGCACAGAGGAGCAGGGGGTACTCAGGGGGGTACTGGACAAGGAGCCCCCTCCCTGCCCCCCCCTCTGGCACAGCGGGGCCTCAGGGGTCTCCTTCTTCACCTCAAACTTCATCAGGTCAAAGTCGTTCACGTACTCCATGTCCAGGGGCCCTGGGGCCCGAAGAGGAGGGGGGAGGCGGAGGTCCGGAGCGACCAGCTCGGCCATCAGGGGGCGCTGTGAGGATCTGAGGGTCTCAGGGGTCCAAGAAGTCTGAGGGTCTGAGGATATAGTCTGGAATAACAGACAAGTACTGGTTTAGTCCTGCTATAGTCCTTCACTAAAGCAGGACTAAGGCAGGCTTTAGACCTGCCTTAGTCCTGCTTTAGACCTGCTTTAGACCTGCTTTAGTCCTGCTTTAGACCTGCTTTAGTCCTGCTTTAGTCCTGCTTTAGACCTGCTTTAGTCCTGCCTTAGTCCTTTTTTAGACCTGCCTTAGACCAGCTCTAGTACCCTTTTAGTCCTGCTTTAGACCAGCTTTAGTCCTCCTTCAGACCAGCTGTAGTACTGCCTTAGAGTTGGTTTAGTCCTTCCTCCGACCTGCTGTAGACCGGCGTAAGTCTTACTTTAGACCTGTTTTAGTCCTCCTTTAGTCCCGCCGTGGTACTGGTTTAGACATGCTTTAGTCCAGCCTTAGTCCTGCTTCAGTCCTGGTTAAGACCTGGCTCAGTCCCGTGTCTCAGATGTCGCTCTATTTTTACCGTGGACTCCTCGGGACCCTCGCAGTGTGGGTCTCTCACACGCACAGTTCGTCGTGCACGCGCGTCCCGGTGCGCTTCTCCGTTCACATTGTTTAATTCACTTTTATGTCCTTTGGAGTCCGTGCGCGCAAGTCCCGGTCTCTCTCCGGTCCCGGTCAGTGCAGCTGTCACACTGGGCGCGTCCTTTGTTGTTGTTGTTTGTCCGTGTCTCGCGCTCTCAACACTTGCAGCGCTCTTTGACGCTCGCGGCACCGGGGCCACGTGCGCGTGCGGTGCAGCTGCGCGCGCTCTGCAGAAGTGCCCTGCGCGTGGACGCTCATATAGACGCGAGTCCTTGGAGACGCGCCCCCGAGTGAGACGAGCAGCCAATCAGAGCAGAGGCACTGAGATGAACGGGAACGTAATACTTACATGTGTTTACCATGTCTGCCCCCGCAGTAATATTACATCTGGGGTAAGTAACTTTCACACAACATCAAAAGAACTCAGCCAGATCCTGTCAGACCTATGAAGCTAAGCAGGGCAGGGTCTGGTTAGTGCTGTGATGGAAGACCTTTGGGGACACCAAGTGCCACAGTGTGGCGGCTGCGGCTGTAAAGGGCCAAACTGTGGTTGTGTCCACTTCAACCACATTAGAATGAGTCTGGTGTGTGTGTGAATGGTTGGTGGAGGTGGGAGGGGCTGATGGCACAGACTGGTTGCTTTGTTTCTGTCAATGGGCCCCAGGGCAGCTGTGGCTACAGAAGTAGTGGCCATGGAGTGAAAGAAAATGTGAATATGTGAAGCGTCTTTTGAGTGTCCTGGCTCTAAAACAGTTTCTTTTATTTCTAGTTTTCATATATTTCTGTCTCACATCTTTAGATCGGATTTTTCAGACAGAAAAGTGACAAAAAGAGGACCCCCCCCAGCCAATCAGCTCTCAGCCCAAAGAGTCAGATAGTGACTCACAAGGATCTTTCTAACACAAAAATAAATGTTTTTCTAATAAGTTAAAGACCGAGTGTCATGGTCTGATTTGACACAAAACGTCTAAAGTTACGTACCCCAGCTTTAACTTGATAAAGTTACTTTCGCCTTAATCCAAGTCCGACATCTTTATCGTTCTGAGCCTCACGAGTCTCGTTTGCTGATCGACGGTTCTTTTCAGAGGAACATCTGCAGATTAAGTCAAAATGCTGATGAAGAGGAGGATGAAGAGGAGGACGGAGCCTCGGCCCAAGTCCGGCGCGCGGCCGCGGATCGCCAACGCTTCTTTTGTGCCTCGCCCTTTGTCCCGCTCCTGAGCGCAGGCCGCAGGATTAACCGAGATCAAACGTCCAGCTTTAAAACCGGACACGTCAGCGAAACATTTACAAGAAATTATATCATTTATCACATACAAGGACTGAAAAGAACCGCAAGCAGCTATGGTCGCCCTACGCTTCTGTGGAAGATGTTTAGTAAAACACAGGAGGACTGTCTCTTCCACAGCTGCAGGACTGTCTCTTCCACAGCTGCAGGACTGTCTCTTCTACAGCTGCGGGACTGTCTCTTCCACAGCTGTGGGACTGTCTCTTCCACAGCTGCGGGACTGTCTCTTCCACAGCTGCAGGACTGTCTCTTCCACAGCTGTAGGACTGTCTCTTCCACAGCTGTAGGACTGTCTCTTCCACAGCTGTAGGACTGTCTCTTCCACAGCTGCGGGACTGTCTCTTCCACAGCTGTGGGACTGTCTCTTCCACAGCTGCAGGACTGTCTCTTCTACAGCTGTGGGACTGTCTCTTCCACAGCTGCAGGACTGTCTCTTCCACAGCTGTAGGACTGTCTCTTCCACAGCTGCAGGACTGTCTCTTCCACAGCTGCAGGACTGTCTCTTCCACAGCTGCAGGACTGTCTCTTCCACAGCTGCAGGACTGTCTCTTCCACAGCTGCGGGACTGTCTCTTCCACAGCTGCAGGACTGTCTCTTCCACAGCTGTAGGACTGTCTCTTCCACAGCTGCAGGACTGTCTCTTCCACAGCTGCAGGACTGTCTCTTCCACAGCTGTAGGACTGTCTCTTCCACAGCTGCAGGACTGTCTCTTCCACAGCTGCAGGACTGTCTCTTCCACAGCTGCAGTGACAAAAACACGACTCACTGAGATTTTCACTTTATTTTCTTCAAATCGAACACTTTAAAATTACTCAAAAATATTGTCACAAAAACTTCAGTCAAATAACTTTAACAGATACAATTCTCAAAACTTGTGCAAATGACGTCATATTAGTCCACGAGTGTAAACATTCCTGAGTGAGGACCTTACAGCTGGTCAGGGTCTGACCTTTCAGCTGTTCCGGTGAAACGGGGCTTAATTGGCAGCATTCCCCCTGAAAGACATTCATGATGTTTAATCAAGTAGAATAACAAAAAACCGAAATTTGTAAATAAATGATTTCATAAATTTGACCTCTGAGCACAGCGCCCCCTGGTGGAGGCTCAGGTTCTTCTGGAGAACTGCACAAAGAGATGAAAGATGGCTGCTTCTGAAGACCAGGACCCTGAACAAGACCAGGACTGAGACCAGGACTGAGACCAGGACTGAGACCAGGATTGAGACAAGGACTGGAGGAGGGAGGAGCTGCAGGGTCTGGGGTCTGTGGACTTTTGCTTCTATTGAGGAACAGATTGGGTTTAGGAACAATTTAAATTAAAATAATAATGAATTATAAGGAACAGACCTTTTGGCAGGTGGGCGGGACTTCCTGGCTGCGCTGCGCCTGATTGGACGTTTGTGCTGTAGTTTGCAATCGTTGCCGCGGGAACAGTTTTTGTCCTGACAAACCAGAGTGTGCTTCTTCTTACACTAAAAACACAAAAAGTTCAATCTGAATGCATCACACTTCAGCTGCAGTAGTAGTAGTAATAGTAACAGCAATATAAATAGCATGAGCAGCTGTAGTATTAACAGTAGTAGTAGTGGCGGCAATATTAGTAATAACACTGGTAGTAGTAGCAGTAGCAGTAGTAGCAACCACAGTTATAGTAGTAGTATCAGTAGCAGGAGTTGTAGCAGTATTAGTAGTAGTAACAATAGTAGCAGAAGTAGCATTAATAGCAGTAGCAGTAATTGCAATAGCAGCAGCAGTAATGGCAGTAGCAGTATCAGTAATGGCAGTAGCAGTAGCAGTAATGGCAGTAATGGCAGTAGCAGTAATCGTAATAGCAGTAGCAGTAATGGCAGTATCAGTAATGGCAGTAGCAGTATCAGTAGCAGTAATGGCAGTAGCAGTAGCACCTTCTGGCCCAGGGGACAGTAGCCTCGGAGGAAGTCCTCACAGACTTGTGCGTCTCTTGACACGTACACGTGGCTGTAGGGACAGTCTGTGTGAGAGCAGCAGCCGCGGAGGAAGAAGGAGCAAACAGGCATCTGAGGGGACACCACAGGTTACACAGGTGTAATGTGAGGTCTGTAAAACAGGTGTAATATGAAGTCTATAACACAGGTGTAATGTGAGGTCTGTAACACAGGTGTAATGTGAGGTCTGTAACACAGGTGTAATGTGAGGTCTGTAACACAGGTGTAATGTGAGGTCTGTAACACAGGTGTAATGTGAGGTCTGTGACACAGGTGTAATGTGAGGTCTGTAACACAGGTATAATGTGAGGTCTGTGACACAGGTGTAATGTGAGGTCTATAACACAGGTGTAATGTGAGGTCTGTAACACAGGTGTAATGTGAGGTCTGTGACACAGGTGTAATATGAGTCCTGTAACACAGGTATAATGTGAGGTCTGTAACACAGGTGTAATGTGAGGTCTGTGACACAGGTGTAATGTGAGGTCTATAACACAGGTGTAATGTGAGTCCTGTAACACAGGTGTAATGTGAGTCCTGTAACACAGGTGTAATGTGAGGTCTATAACAGGTGTAATGTGAGGTCTGTAACACAGGTGTAATGTGAGGTCTATAACACAGGTGTAATGTGAGGTCTGTAACACAGGTGTAATATGAGTCCTGTAACACAGGTGTAATGTGAGGTCTGTAACAGAGGTGTAATGTGAGGTCTGTAACACAGGTGTAATGTGAGGTCTGTAAAACAGGTGTAATATGAGGTCTGTAAAACAGGTGTAATGTGAGGTCTATAACACAGGTGTAATGTGAGGTCTGTAACACAGGTGTAATGTGAGGTCTATAACACAAGTGTCATGTGAGGTCTATAACACAGGTGTAATGTGAGGTCTGTAAAACTGGTGTAATGTGAGGTCTATAACACAGGTGTAATGTGAGGTCTGTAACACAGGTGTAATGTGAGGTCTGTAACACAGGTGTAATGTGAGGTCTATAACACAGGTGTAATATGAGGTCTGTAAAACAGGTGTAATGTGAGGTCTGTAACACAGGTGTAATGTGAGGTCTGTAACACAGGTGTAATGTGAGGTCTATAACAGGTGTAATGTGAGGTCTATAACACAGTACCTTGTCCTTGGAGACTTTGTGGGAGAAAGGACAGCTATCTCCTTGTTTACAGCGCCCCCTGAGGAACCTGCGGAGAACAGCATGTATGAGTGAGCGGATCAGTCTCTGCGGATCAGTCTCTGCGGAGCAGTCTCTGCGGAGCAGTCTCTGCCGAGCAGTCCCTGCCGAGCAGTCCCTGCCGAGCAGTCTCTGCGGAGCAGTCCCTGCCGAGCAGTCTCTGCGGAGCAGTCCCTGCCGAGCAGTCTCTGTGGAGCAGTCTCTGTGGAGCAGTCTCTGTGGAGCAGTCTCTGTGGAGCAGTCTCTGTGGAGCAGTCTCTGTGGAGCAGTCTCTGTGGAGCAGTCTCTGTGGAGCAGTCTCTGTGGAGCAGTCTCTGTGGAGCAGTCTCTGTGGAGCAGTCTCTGTGGAGCAGTCTCTGCCGAGCAGTCTCTGTGGAGCAGTCTCTGTGGAGCAGTCTCTGTGGAGCAGTCTCTGTGGAGCAGTCTCTGTGGAGCAGTCTCTGTGGAGCAGTCTCTGTGGAGCAGTCTCTGTGGATCAGTCTCTGTGGATCAGTCTCTGTGGAGCAGTCTCTGTGGAGCAGTCTCTGTGGAGCAGTCTCTGTGGAGCAGTCTCTGTGGAGCAGTCTCTGTGGATCAGTCTCTGTGGAGCAGTCTCTGTGGAGCAGTCTCTGTGGAGCAGTCTCTGTGGATCAGTCTCTGTGGAGCAGTCTCTGTGCATCAGTCTCTGCACCTGGTACACACGGCCACCTTCTCCTTGTCGTGGACATAAGGACACTGGTCTCCACGGTTACAGCGTCCAAAACGATTGTAAAACATACAGAACTGTCTCTGTTTGTGTCTCAATCTGAGTCCACTGGAGCGGACGATGGACAGACTGCGGAGGAGGACGGACCTGAGGGGACAGAGGAGAGAGAGGAGCTGTTAGAGTAGTAGAAGAGAGGAGATAGGAGAGAGGAGAGGAGAGAGAGGAGCTGTTAGAGTAGTAGAAGAGAGGAGATAGGAGAGAGGAGAGGAGAGAGAGGAGCTGTTAGACTAGTAGAAGAGAGGAGATAGGAGAGAGGAGAGGAGAGAGAGGAGCTGTTAGAGTAGTAGAAGAGAGGAGACAGAGGAGAGGAGAGAGAGGAGCTGTTAGCCCGAGGAGGAGGAGGACAGACCTGAGGGGACAGAGAGGAGAGAGCAGAGGAGAGAGAGCAGAGAAGAGAGAGGACAGGAGAGTAGGAGAGGTGAGGAGAGAGAGGAGAGGAGAGAGGCCTGAGGAGACAGGGAGGACACAGGGACACGTCACACATGAGACAAACGGGAAAATTCACCTTGCCAGGTTTCTGGAGGCGGAGCCAGGAGGTGAGAAGGGGGCGGGGCTAGAAGAGCGAGGGGTCAGGGCTCGGGACAGCTGATTGGCCGACACTTTGAACAAAGTTCCTCTAATCCAGCACATAGAGGCGGAGCTACGAAGCGAGGAGCGGAGCCTGGGACACAAACACAGAGCGTCCAGAACCAGAGGACGAGGACGACTTCACTACAACAGTATGTCTCACCTGGTCAGAGGAGAGCGGCTCCTGCAGTGTGAAGGACCATGTACGGGACGCTTGTCCATTCTGAACCTGCTGCAGAGGAGCTGAGGAGGAGACACTGCTGCAACAGAGGAGAGGGGGGAGGGGGGAGAGGAGAGAAGGGGGGGGGGGGGGGGAGAGGGTGGAGGAGAGGAGACAGGGTGGAGGGGAGGAGAGAGGGGGGAGGGGAGAGGAGAGAAGAGGAGAGTTATTCCAACAGACCAAAGTTCCAGACCAGGTCCTGACCTAGTTCAGTCCTGGTTCAGTCCTGGTTCAGTCCTGGTTCAGTCCTGGTTCAGTCCTGGTTCAGTCCTGGTTCAGTCGTGTTCTGAGGTTTATGTTCAGAGTGGAACGTTGGAGCGAGTTGGTGAATGTGATCTGGGCTATACATGGTCGGGGGGGGGGGTAGAATTTTGGGAGGGGGGGGGGTTAGAGTTTAGAGAGGGGGGGATAGAGTTTAGGGATGGGGGTTAGAGTTTAGAGAGGGGGGGTTAGAGTTTAGAGGGGGGGGGGGGGGGGGGGGATGGGGGTGAGAGCAGAGAAAGCGGGTTCTTTGTTTTGAGCCTTAAAGATGCAGTCAGTGATTTTTTCCAGACGCACTTTTTAAAATATTGTGGGAAAACGTCCCTAAACCCTAAAAGTATCAAGTTATCATGTGTTTTCAAATAGTAATGGAATTGACCAGATTCCTATAATCTCCAGAAATTAATAAAAAAATATTTTGGAGCGGACCGATAAAAATGAACCAATGGGATTCGTTGAACCAATGGGAAGTGTTTACCCCCTTCACCCTGTTTTTCGAGAGTGTGCGCGTCTGACCACAGCAGCCACAGGGACCATGAGGACAAACACTATACACGTGGATTTCACTGCTCTACAGTTCTCTGGCCCGTACTTTCTGTAATGTTTAAACAATTCTGTTTGTACGGACTACCCGTGAACGCCCCAATTACTCTGCTAACATACGTGCGAGCCGCTTGTTTTGGTTTGGTGGAGAGGCAAGAGGAGGGGGGGGGAGTAGTTTCCAGTTGGTGCTACGGCTAAGCTAACAAAATCGCTTACTGCATCTTTAAGTTTACAGCAGCAAAGAAACCCTCGCTCTGAATCCCGGACCGTCATTACTAGCAGCCCTGTGATTGGCCGGCTCAAGAGTGGCATCACAGTGTAATCTCAGAAGAGCCGTGTGATTGGCCGGCTCAAGAGTGACATCACAGTGTAACCGCAGCATGTGGACTTGTTTTAAAGTGACAGCGACGACAGCTTCATGGACCTGACTCCCATCGCCACGGTTACAGTTACACTATTTATAGCACCGCGTTCACAAACATGTGCTCTGGCCCCGAACACCAGCTCCTCACCTTTGACCAAAGATTATAATCATGTGACATCACAGTGTACCGATCTAGTCGGTATCGCTCAACCTCCCCCACGAGCTCGGGCTCCTTCCCCCCCAGTGAGGTGACGTTCCACGTCCCAAGAGCCAGATGTTGTGTGTGCGGACTGGGTCGCCGAGGTCTCCGCCTTCGACTGCCGCCCAGTCCTCTTAGCACCGCGCCACCACGGACTCCTCTGCAGGTGGTGGGCCCACAGGAAGGACTGCCCACGTCGTCCCTTCGGGCTGAGCCCGGCCGGGCCCCGTGGGCTAAGGCCCGGCCACCAGGCGCTCGCTTGCGAGCCCCGACCCCAGGCCTGGCTCCAGGGTGGGGCCCCAGCTGCGCCATGCCGGGCGACGTCACGGTTTTCATTGTCGTGCTGTCCATTGTTGGCTTCGGACTGCGCTTCGTCTGACTCGTCACCTGAGACCTGTCTGCCATGGGAGACCCAACCAGGGGCATGAAGCCCCAGACAGCATAGCTCCCAGGATCACCCGAGTACTCAAACTCCCCCATCATATTAAGGTGGCAGTCCAGGGGGGAGGAGCCTGAAGGTAATTCTTGATATTATTAAAATATGTATAATTTTTTTCCCCTAAAGGCCACTTGTATTTTTATTTTCTGTGCGACAGGGAGAGCAGTAGAGATCCTCTCACAAACGGACGGGCTAAAAGAAACTTCAAGCGGAGAACCTTCAACCATTCATCCAGATGCACCCCATGGTAGTGGCAGTGCCCCTTCTGGTAAGTGTACCAGGTGGGGGATTACAGCCAGGCTGCTTGGTCCTAACCCTGGGAGTGTATATTGCTAATATATTTTTATTTCTCTCCCTAGAACGTTAGAGAAAGCCATGGTCTGCATCTGAGGTGAAGGCTGTGGAGAAGACCATGACGCCTTTCATACAGACTGGAAAAGTCCCTGGGAAGTCTCACTGCCTGGCCTGGCCTGGCCTGGCCTGCATTAATGCCTCACCAGATGACCTTGGACATCTGGACATCTGACCTCCAGACCTCCCGGAGTCTTGCTGGAGCGAAAGTGAATTACAATACAGAGCATTTAGCACATAGCCACATATGATTTACCAAAATGATAACTTAAGTTACATTCCAATATCAGCCCCTAAGTGTTAGGTTTCGTTTTTGCATGTTAGTGTCACTTCTGTTTCACAGAATAGCACGTATGCTATTAATAGAGCAACCACGGCAGCTAAATGCGCTACAGAGACTTTTTCAGAGTATTAAAGACTCATTAACGTTGTTCCCTGTGTGTCAGTGTGCGTGAATGACCAAAAAGTAAGTGCAATGTGTGATTTGTTGACAAATGTGCCTGTTATAACCATATGTCCGTGTTTAGACTTAACACATGTTTTCTTCAGTCTCACTTAGCATTAGTGATGTGACGTACATTTGTTAAGTAGAGTTCTAATGTTAATTGCCCTGCTAATTCATAGTTTAAAGTTAATTCTATTTTTAGTATATTGTTATTTTACGTGTATTGTGTATATATATATATATATTGTTTTTTTTTTTTTTTGAAAGAGGCGCTGGGTTACGGCTGCAAGTCCTTAGTAGCTCTGAGTAACAGTTGTTGTTTTGTACTTTACAATTTTTATTTTTATTGCTTTTTCTGCCTGAGATGTTGCTTCAGTACAGTGTGCAAAGTTTTGCACTGGTCCAGACCGGAGCGGAGAGGATTCATGGTCCAAACCAAGCGGATCAGGTGAAAATCCACTAGAGGAATGCTAACTTTTTGAAAAATGCTAATGAAGCAATTAGCATTTTACTTTGGACCAGAGCAGAGAAAATGGTCCAAACCAAGCGGCTACTCCATCTTTTGATTCAGATTCAGATTCAGATTCAGATTCAGTTATTTTCCATTTGCAGTAAAACCACATAGGAAAAACTGTGCAAGACTACCCCAGTGTGCACCAGACGACACACACCAGAGCTCTTGCCACGGCGCCATCTTTACGGCGCCATGCGAATCCTTATTTTATTCAGGATTTTATTCAGGATGTGTCCTGCTCCACCCAGAGGCTACTCCACCTCTGCTGCTGTGACCCGTCCTGCTCCACCCAGAGGCTACTCCACCTCTGCTGCTGTGACCCGTCCTGCTCCACCCAGAGACTACTCCACCTCTGCTGCTCTGACCCGTCCTGCTCCACCCAGAGGCTACTCCACCTCTGCTGCTCTGACCCGTCCTGCTCCACCCAGAGACTACTCCACCTCTGCTGCTGTGACCCGTCCTGCTCCACCCAGAGGCTACTCCACCTCTCTGCTGTGACCTATCCTGCTCCACCCAGAGACTACTCCACCTCTGCTGCTGTGACCCGTCCTGCTCCACCCAGAGGCTACTCCACCTCTGCTGCTGTGACCCGTCCTGCTCCACCCAGAGGCTACTCCACCTCTGCTGCTGTGACCCGTCCTGCTCCACCCAGAGGCCACTCCTTCTGTGCTGCTGTGACCCGTCCTGCTCCACCCAGAGGCTACTCCACCTTTTGACCTGTCCTGCTCCACCCAGAGGCTACTCCACCTCTGCTGCTGTGACCCGTCCTGCTCCACCCAGAGGCTACTCCACCTCTGCTGCTGTGACCCGTCCTGCTCCACCCAGAGACTACTCCACCTCTGCTGCTGTGACCCGTCCTGCTCCACCCAGAGGCTACTCCACCTCTGCTGCTGTGACCTGAAGGGCTGTGGCTGATTATTATTATTGTTATCTTTTTTATTTATTTTTTATTATTATTTTTATTTTGTTTTTTATTTTTGCTACTACTGGACACCTGAATTTCTCCTTCGGGGGATCAATAAAGTATCTATCTATCTATCTATCTAGTTGACCTGCCGCTGCGTCTCGCACCAAATTAAAGGGCATGTCCGTAACTTTTGGGAGCACCCAAATAAGTGCTGTTATTTTGCTCTGTTTATTTATAGCTGTTATGTGTATGTTGTGTATTATAATATGTAAGGTAATAAAATGCACTGCCCCCGCGATGACCCAGGCAAGCCGGCCAAGCCGGTTGTGTGTGAGATAACAAAAACACACGGCTCGGAACATCTAAGGTGATGGAGGTCGGATAGAGCACCACAATGGCTCACATAGATACAGCAGTCATCTCAAAGACAGTGATCGTCCCCAGAGCACACCTCTGGCCCCCACCCCCGGCGAGTTCAAAGGGGGCCAGTGGGTCTGCATCGCATCAAACAAAGCCATAGACATCACCCATGGGCCGGCGATCCGGCAACGGCGTTCCACCACCCCCCCCAGTGGACACGGGACGCCAATACACCTGAGACGGACAACTGAAACCACGGATGAATATGTTGTTTTGCTAACATCTTAAATCAGAAAACATGTGTACCATTGTCTGTGAACAAGGTGTGTTGTGTGTCTATGTCTAAGTAACGTGTATGTGGTTAAAACTATGATTTCATGAAAGGAGTTCTGGAGGCGCGGAAAGTCGACGTCATAAGACACGCCCCCAGAGCCGGAACAAAAACAGAGACACAGCAACTTTTCGTGTTAACTTTTGCTTGTGAACCTTTTGGGAACTCTCTTTGAAACTTTCTCTGGGCCAGTGGGCCGCGTCTTGGAGCGCGGCCCACTCCCCTGCGCGATCCAGGGGCCCACAACTTCAACCCAGGCGCAGGTTGGAGCTCGCTGCCCGGACAGCTGCCCGATCCTTTTCCCTATCGAGCTGAACTCGACTTGCCTGTCCCGCAGCGGCGAAACAGCTCTCCAACTCCCACCAAAAAGGAGCACCGTGGACCATCGCGCCTCAAGCCACCTCTGGGCTTCCCGGGACCGATCCCCGCTCCCTGCTCCCGTGTGTGGGAAAGACTGGAGTGTGTGCGCGCCCGCTCTCCGTGCGTGAGAAAGACTGGAGTGTTTGACCGCCTGACCCAAACGGGTAGAAAGCATCTTCACCTCTGGGACTTGGCAGTAACAGTAAGACTTTCTGGAGTTGTATTGTGTGTGATGGTGATGTGTTTCTGACATTCCTGTTCATGTGACTTATCATACTTGTGTGATCCCTCCCGGTTACCGTTCCCGTTTCTATATGTAGTTAATAAACCCACGCTAACTTTTAAGAGTCGTCAGTGTTCTTTGTATAATTCATGATATCCCTGGCCGATATAGAACTCAAGACCTATCAGATTATGAGACTGATTGAGGCAGATTAGTTGGATCTGTGCAGACTTTTTCAAACTCTGCTGGTGCCCAAAATAAAACTCAGATCCCACTTGTGTAGAACGGCAAGACTCTGATCTGGAGACTAGCCGCTCTACACTACAATTTTCATACCCTACAAATATATGTCTTGTAGTTATGTACAGTGTATAGCTTGTACATTTATTCATTATATTTTTTATCTGTTCTTTGTTGCAGACCACACGTTACATATTTGTAACACACCGTTAACGTGTTAATAAAACAACGACTGAGAAATATCCCCCCTCTGGACCCTGATTCTCTGACCGGAATCTTTCCACACTGTTGCCGCGTCAATCAGTGTATATCCCTTAGTGGGCCAGTTAAAATATTGGGCCTCCACTTCAGTGGTGGTGGACAAAGGGCAGAGGACAGCCGTGGTGGTGGACAAAGGGCAGAGGACAGCCGTGGTGGTGGACAAAGGGCAGAGGACAGCTGTGGTGGTGGACAAAGGGCAGAGGACAGCCGTGGTGGTGGACAAAGGGCAGAGGACAGTCGTGGTGGTGGACAAAGGGCAGAGGACAGCCGTGGTGGTAGACAAAGGGCAGAGGACAGCCGTGGTGGTGGACAAAGGGCAGAGGACAGCCGTGGTGGTGGACAAAGGGCAGAGGACAGCCGTGGTGGTAGACAAAGGGCAGAGGACAGCCGTGGTGGTAGACAAAGGGCAGAGGACAGCCGTGGTGGTAGACAAAGGGCAGAGGACAGCCGTGGTGGTAGACAAAGGGCAGAGGACAGCCGTGGTGGTAGACAAAGGGCAGAGGACAGCCGTGGTGGTAGACAAAGGGCAGAGGACAGCCGTGGTGGTAGACAAAGGGCAGAGGACAGCCGTGGTGGTGGACGTGGCAATTCCAAGCGATGGTAACATCAGGAAAAAAAGAACACAAAAAGCTTGAGAAATACCAAGGTCTCAGAGAGGAGCTGGAGAGGGCCTGGAGGGTAAAGGTGACAGTAGTGAGAGGGCCTGGAGGGTAAAGGTCACAGTAGTGAGAGGGCCTGGAGGGTAAAGGTGACAGTAGTGAGAGGGCCTGGAGGGTAAAGGAGACAGTAGTGAGAGGGCCTGGAGGGTAAAGGTCACAGTAGTGAGAGGGCCTGGAGAGTAAAGGTGACAGTAGTGAGAGGGCCTGGAGGGTAAAGGTCACAGTAGTGAGAGGGCCTGGAGTGTAAAGGTGACAGTAGTGAGAGGGCCTGGAGAGTAAAGGTGACAGTAGTGAGAGGGCCTGGAGGGTAAAGGAGACAGTAGTGAGAGGGCCTGGAGGGTAAAGGAGACAGTAGAGAGAGGGCCTGGAGGGTAAAGGAGACAGTAGTGAGAGGGCCTGGAGGGTAAAGGTCACAGTAGTGAGAGGGCCTGGAGGGTAAAGGTGACAGTAGTGAGAGGGTCGGCACTAGATCATATACGGAATCGGGACGAAACTGGAAGTAACACTCCTAGTTTCGAATTAGTTTTAGACTAAAAAGTCCTTAAGTGGTGACTGGTTAAGTTTTAGGCGTCTGAGTAAGATGGTTAAGGTTAGGGTCAAGGGTGGGTTGGGGTTATTTTATGGGAATGGCCGGTTAAGTTTAGGCATGAATAGGTATTTTGTTATATTTACTTCCGCTTCCGTCCCGATTCCGTATATGATCTAGTGCTGACCGTAGTGAGAGGGCCTGGAGGGTAAAGGTCACAGTAGTGAGAGGGCCTGGAGGGTAAAGGAGACAGTAGTGAGAGGGCCTGGAGGGTAAAGGTCACAGTAGTGAGAGGGCCTGGAGGGTAAAGGTGACAGTAGTGAGAGGGCCTGGAGAGTAAAGGTGACAGTAGTGAGAGGGCCTGGAGGGTAAAGGTCACAGTAGTGAGAGGGCCTGGAGAGTAAAGGTCACAGTAGTGAGAGGGCCTGGAGAGTAAAGGTGACAGTAGTGAGAGGGCCTGGAGGGTAAAGGTCACAGTAGTGAGAGGGCCTGGAGAGTAAAGGTGACAGTAGTGAGAGGGCCTGGAGGGTAAAGGTGACAGTAGTGAGAGGGCCTGGAGGGTAGATGTGGCAGTAGTGCCCGTGGTGATCGGTGCACTCGGGGCAGTGACCCCGAAGCTAGAAGAGGTTACAGCGGATCCCTGGAACAACCTCGGACATCTCGGTCCAGAAATGTGCAGTGCTAGGAACAGCAAAGATACTGCGCAGAACCCTCAAGCTCCCAGGCCTCTGGTAGAGGACCCGAGCTTAGAGAGGGATAACCGCCCACGGAGGGCCAAAGGTGAATGTTTAAAAAAAAAAAATTATAGATAAATGTTTATATAGACATATGCTTAAACAACAACCATATACACTCTCACACACACGCGCACACACAAACACGGTAACAATAATAGCAGCCACAATACAACCACTCCACCATCGTGTCCTGAAGTGCTGTGTCCTCTGGTTGGTGCTACATGCAGCTAAGAGGAAGCGTCTGTCCGTCGCCTGTTGAGGGCAATACTGGTGCACATCCCTGAAGAAGGTCCATGTTGTAAAGAGTATCTGTGGTGTTTGTGTTTTTACCATGTTTCTGATCATATGAATCAGAGAATATTGGATCCTTTGACATACAGCTGCTGGTGCGTCTGACTTATTCTGGTTCTGAAGGACATACAGCCAGGACAGCTGCTGGTGCGTCTGACTTATTCTGGTTCTGAAGGACATACAGCCAGGACAGCTGCTGGTGCGTCTGACTTATTCTGGTTCTGAAGGACATACAGCCAGGACAGCTGCTGGTGCGTCTGACTTATTCTGGTTCTGAAGGAACAGTTCAGGACGAGCCGAGCCGCTTTATTTTGTGCTATTTGAAGTTTGTTTAAGTTTGCCTCTGTTGTGTTTGACCAAATTACTGATTCAATTGTGCCAAAACAATTGAATCAGTTTATATTTGGTTTGGTCCAGTTTCTGCTCCGCTTCACTGCAAACTCCTGCCATTTTGTTTAATATTTGCTTTATATGACTATTCCAGGTCAGCATATTATCTACGGCTACACCCAGCGACTTGGCCTAGGCGACTGATCTCGGCGACTTAGTCTCGGTGACATGGTCTCGGCGACTTGGCCTCGGCGTCTTGGCCTCGGCGACTTGGCCTCGGCGACTTGGCCTCGGCGACTTGGCCTAGGCGACTGATCTCGGTGACATGGTCTCGGCGACATGGTCTCGGCGACTTGGCCTCGGCGACATGGTCTCTGCGACTTGGCCTAGGCGACTCGGCCTCGGCGACTCGGCCTCAGCGACTCGGTCTCAGTGACTGGCTCTAAAGATTTACCTTCTATGGTCACATTTATACCAGGGGAGTTTCTTAAGTGATGATTTGATCCTAACACCATGTTAGGTTGGTCGCATTTGGTCTTTTAAGGATTAATAACCAATTTATTTTCATTCATCAAATCCTCAATTGATTTAAAATCTTGTATGTTTACATTTAAATTAGCAAGGTCAGTGTCAGACAGATACATGGCTGAATAGTCTGGATAAAGGGCACTAGTGGCACGTTTGAAAATACACGACAAGTCATTTGTAAAGATTGAAAATAAAAGCGACCCAAGAAGCTTCCTTGAGGCACTCCACAACTCAGTGTCTTTTTTCAGAATAACTGCCGTTAAATAATACAGTAAACGCTCTGTTAGTTACTTTTAACCATAGACTGTATATATTAATGGACAGAGTCACGCCCATCTCCGCCGTTCTAACTAATGGGCCAAAAAATGTGCTCTACTGCAGTGGTTCCCAAAGTGGGGGTCCCGACCCCCCGGGGGGTCGCGGGAACCCCTGGGGGGGTCGCATGATGATTTCTACACAAACAAAAAAAAAAGATTTTTTTTTTTTGAGCAAATATAAAGCCCTTAAATATTTATTTAGCATTTGATTTGATTCAAAAGGACTACTTGTTAAATTGTGTTTGGAGACTATAATATATTTTAATAACGTTAGTAATTTTGTCCCAGTCATTGCAGCGTCAATCAAAATCATCACGTAACACAGCTCACATCATGCGCAGCGACAAAGCGTGTCCTGCTGTTGTTTGCTAAAACTAAAAGTGGTTTGGAGGCTACAAATAAATAATACCTGCTTTAAAATGAAACGTGGTTAATATCCACAACAGAAAAACCCGGAGGGGGAGAAAAGTCACTTGTATCAGTGGTCAGGCTGATGGTGCGAAGAGAGGGAGAGAGGGCAGAGGAGGGAGAGAGGGCAGAGGAGGGAGAGAGGGCAGAGGAGGGAGAGAGGGCAGAGGAGGGAGAGAGGGCAGAGGAGGGAGAGAGGGCAGAGGAGGGAGAGAGGGCAGCGGAGGGAGAGATGGCAGCGGAGGGAGAGAGGGCAGCGGAGGGAGAGAGGGCAGAGGAGGGAGAGAGGGCAGCGGAGGGAGAGAGGGCAGAGGAGGGAGAGAGGGCAGAGGAGGGAGAGAGGGCAGCGGAGGGAGAGAGGGCAGAGGAGGGAGGGAGGACAGCGGAGGGAGGGAGGACAGCGGTAGAACAGCGCGTTAAAGAGGCCCGGCTTTTCGGAGTCAAAGGTAAAGAGGTCCGCACATTAAAAGCGGGTGGCCGGTTTATGCCTTTACTGACAGTAACTTTGGAAAGAGAAGCCGCGGGGATGAACCGCATAAAGTAACAGCAGAAAGCGGCCGCCCGCTTTTAATGTGCGGACCTCTTTACCGCTGACTCCGGAAAGCCGTCCCACTTTACCGCGGTAGGAGAACAGTGAGGGCGAGCCGCAAGAAATGCGCTCCACTCCTGCTGAGGAGGGAGCCCACCAAGCCCATCACTGTGTCACTACATGAGTAAAAATATGCAAGCCTCCTTTTTTGGGCTGGACAGTGCAGCTCGGTAGTGGCGTGAGTCTCTAGAAAGCGTTACTCTGTATCAAGGAAATACATGCTCATTTCATGTGACGGAAGGGCTGTTGGGGGGGGTCGCGGGTTAGCAGGGCATTTATGATGGGGGTCGCGGGCTAAAAACTTTGGGAACCTCTGCTCTACTGGAGCAATCCAAAATGGCCGCGAGTGGTCCCGCCCACAAGAAAATTGTGGAAAAACGCATCTGTGCATGCGTCAGCCGGAGCAGCTCCATTCATTTGAACGAGAGACTTCAAAAATTCACAGCAACTAAACTAGAGTGGACCAGAACACTCCCCTCAGCATTGACACACATGTGGAACGGAGCTTTGGGCCAAGAGACAACTTTTGGACCATCCTGTAAAGACGTTTTTGAGAGGTCTGCCAATGCTATATGTTAGCATTGGCTAATTCTACTTCTGGGTCGACCCCCACAGGCCCGGGGTGGTACTGCAGCATGTCAGCGCACGTCATTTTGGCCACTTTTGAGCTGGGACCCGCCCCCACTGCTTTTAACCCACCTGATAGCAGAATTTCCAAAACCATAACAAGTTAATTGATCCAGTAATAAATCATGATCAAGTAAATCCAACGCTGCTCAGATCTAACACCGTCTCAGTTGTGTTTCAGGTGTTTGGGCTCAGGCTGATCCATGTCCGCAGAAATATACAGTACAAAAGTATTCGGCCCCCTTGAACCTTTCAACATTTTGCCACATTTCAGGCTTCAAACATAAAGATATAAAAATGAATTTTTTTGTCAAGAATCAACAACAAGTGGGACACAATCGTGAAGTGGAACAAAATTTATTGGATAATTTAAACTTTTTTAACAAATAAAAAACTGAAAAGTGGGGCGTGCAATATTATTCGGCCCCCTTGCGCAAATACTTTGTAGCGCCACCTTTTGCTGCAATTACAGCTGCAAGTCGCTTGGGGTATGTCTCTATCAGTTTTGCACATCGAGAGACTGGAATTCTTGCCCATTCTTCCTTTAAAAACAGCTGGAGCTCAGTGAGGTTGGATGGAGAGCGTTTGTGAACAGCAGTCTTCAGCTCTTTCCACAGATTCTCGATTGGATTCAGGTCTGGACTTTGACTTGGCCATTCTAACACCTGGATACGTCTATTTGTGAACCATTCCATTGTAGATTTGGCTTTATGTTTTGGATCATTGTCCTGTTGGAAGATAAATCTCCGTCCCAGTCTCAGGTCTTTTGCAGACTCCAACAGGTTTTCTTCCAGAATGGTCCTGTATTTGGCTCCATCCATCTTCCCATCAATTTTAGCCATCTTCCCTGTCCCTGCTGAAGAAAAGCAGGCCCAAAGCATGATGCTGCATTTATAATACCAATCATTAGGACAAATTACACTTTTCTAAACTCAAATGAACACTGTGACAAACAGAGCAATCCCATCATGCACCAGTTTCATCTTCATCATCTTCACCTCAACTTCATCATCTTCATCATCTTCACCTCGACTTCATCATCTTCATCATCTTCACCTTGACTTCATCATCTTCATCATCTTCACCTTGACTTCATCATCTTCATCATCTTCACCTTGACTTCATCATCTTCGACTTCATCATCTTCACCTTGACTTCATCATCTTCGACTTCATCATCTTCACCTTGACTTCATCATCTTCGACTTCATCATCTTCACCTCAACTTCATCCTCTTCACCTCGACTTCATCATCTTCATCATCTTAGCCTCGACTTCATCATCTTTGACTTCATCATCTTCGACTTCATCATCTTCATCATCTTCACCTCGACTTCATCATCTTCACCTTGACTTCATCATCTTTGACTTCATCATCTTCATCATCTTCACCTCGACTTCATCATCTTCACCTCGACTTCCTCATCTTCAGTATCTTCACCTCGACTTCATCATCTTCACCTCGACTTCATCATCTTCAGTATCTTCACCTCGACTTCATCATCTTCATCATCTTAGCCTCGACTTCATCATCTTCACCTTGACTTCATCATCTTCATCATCTTCACCTCGACTTCATCATCTTCAGTATCTTCACCTCGACTTCATCATCTTCAGTATCTTCACCTCGACTTCATCATCTTCACCTCGACTTCATCATCTTCAGTATCTTCACCTCGACTTCATCATCTTCAGGATCTTCACCTCGACTTCATCATCTTCACCTCGACTTCATCATCTTCTGTATCTTCACCTCGACTTCATCATCTTCATCATCTTAGCCTCGACTTCATCATCTTCACCTTGACTTCATCATCTTCATCATCTTCACCTCGACTTCATCATCTTCAGTATCTTCACCTCGACTTCATCATCTTCAGTATCTTCACCTCGACTTCATCATCTTCACCTCGACTTCATCATCTTCAGTATCTTCACCTCGACTTCATCATCTTCAGTATCTTCACCTCGACTTCATCATCTTCACCTCGACTTCATCATCTTCAGTATCTTCACCTCGACTTCATCATCTTCATCATCTTAGCCTCGACTTCATCATCTTCACCTTGACTTCATCATCTTTGACTTCATCATCTTCATCATCTTCACCTCGACTTCATCATCTTCAGTATCTTCACCTCGACTTCATCATCTTCAGTATCTTCACCTCGACTTCATCATCTTCATCATCTTAGCCTCGACTTCATCATCTTCACCTCGTCTTCATCACTGCCCAAAGGCTTTAGTTTTAAGTTTTAGAACATTTTACATAACATAGAGAACAACAGGGCAGACAAGAAGTGGGCCCGATGTGGGGTATCTCCCACCTCATCGGCCCCACAAATTTCTTGTTTTTTTAATGCACCTCACAGGACTGACAAGAGGACAAGCAGGGCCTGTTGAGTGAGCCCGTCTCGCAGCACGCTCTGCTTTTCATTATTATTATGATTTGTTTGTTTATTTTTGTTAATATTAATTATTGATTTATTATTATTGTCATTTATTCTACTATTATTATTTTTCACCAAAGCCCAGCAAGATAAAATTAGCAATGGGTAATGATTGTGGCAATGACGATGATAATAGTGATAGCGATGATGATGTGTATATATATAAACCCCTTTTTTTTATTTTTTTATGTATTTTTTTTATTATTATTATTATTTTTTTTTAGTAAAATATATAGATTCATTTGACCACATTCGACATAGCACCTATGCACCCCTGCATTGCATACACATTCACATACATATACAGAAACTCCGCAAACCAAGGCTGAACTGAAACAATAAAAAACGCAACCCGAATAATTTTATTTTATTTTTTTTACTCTCCCCCTCCCCCCCAACCCCTCCCACCTTAACACCTACTGTATTTGTAAACCGTATATATTAGATTTCGAATATAATTTTGTTTTATTTCTTTCTCTTATGTTTTCATTCTTGTAATTGTATTAAAATGTAATAAAGTTAATAAAAAAAAAAAATAAAAAAAAAAAAGTTTTAGAACATTTTCAACAACGGTTTCACTCACTTTTTCAGACCTACATTTAAATAAACGACCCGTTCTTACGTCTTTGATCGAAGAACAGGATGGAGGTAAAACTGTAACTTTTTATGAAATATTCTCTGAGATCATTTGAAATATTTTTTTGCTGAGTCAGAAAAGATCCACTTCCATAATGTTGGCACAGGTTTGACTTTCCTTCTCGTCAGCGCTGCCGGATGTGAATGTGTGTCTCTGTGTGGTGTCTCCTTGTGTGTATCTCTGTGTGTGTCTTTGTTTTATCTCTGTGTGTGTGTGTCTGCGTGTGTATCTCTGTGTGTGTGTGTGTATGCGTGTGTATCTCTGTGTGTGTCTTTGTTGTATCTCTGTGTGTGTGTGTCTGCGTGTGGTGTATCTGTGTGGGGTCTCCTTGTGTGTCTTTGTATGGTGTCCCTGTAAGTAAGTAAGTAAGTCATCTTTATTTATATAGCGTCTTTCACAGACCAGAGTCTCAAAGCGGTTTACAATTTGTTATTTTTTTGGACATTTGTCTCTCACTCCACACAGAGATGGTACAGGAGGCACATGCCAGACCTATTGTACATGTTTTTAGTGGTAGGGGAAACCAGAGTACCCGGAGGAAACCTCCGCAGACACGGGGAGAACATGCAAACTCCACTCAGAAAGCCCTGGTCCGACTGGGATTCGAACCCAGGACCTTCTTGCTCAGAAGCGAGAGTGCTATCCACTCTGCCACCGTGCCGCCCAGTGTGTGGGGTCTCCATGTTTGTCTCTGTGTGTGTATCTGTGTGTGTATCTGTGTGGTGCCTCAGTCCTGGATATGAAACCTGTTTAATTCTCTGATCTGGTGTTGACGAATCAACAACTTTGTAAAGTCCCTGAGACGACCGCTGTTGGGATTGAGGGCGATACACAAACACATGGACGAGAATTAAAATGTACTCCACACAGAACAGGGCCTTTTTTATTTAGTTTTAATTTAGACATTTACAAGGTTTTTCTCAATCCATGGGGCGGAGACAGGTGGAGTGGGCGGAGTCAGATGTACAGCTGAGGGAGGGGCTCTGCTGAAGTGGGCGGAGTCACACATGCAGCTGGAGGGCGGGGTTCTGGTACACGTACAGGTAGGCGTCACACAGCAGCCTCTTGGCCACGCCCCTCATGTCTCGAGGCATCTGATTGGACAGCTCACTCACAGACATGTTCAAGTATTGGCCGAGCTCCGGAGCCAATGACACGAGAGGCACGTTGAACCCATCCTCTTCCCCTGGAACACAGGAAACAGTAGCAGTGATAGCAGCAGCAGTATTAGCAGTGGTAGCAGTAATAGCAGTGGTAGCAGTCATAGTGTCAGTAGTACTAGTATTGGTGGTTACCATAGCGATCCGCCATACTGTCGTGGAACAGCCATTGCGTGGGCGCAGCTCCATATTTGACAAACGAGACGTAGTGACTCGTCTCGATGCACAGAACGGCCAGCAGGTGGAGCCGCTCCCGGTGCCCACGGCGGTAATGTGCTGGGGGAGGGGCCAAGGGCACGGGGCGGTGTTCAAGGCGACGGGGGTGGGCGTGGACCTGAAAGAGACAACTTCCGGTGAGTCAGAGGTGAGACGTTTGCAACAGGGTGCTAAGCTAATGTCAACGGCTCATTCAGAAACGTTAAAAAGACGTCCTTTAGTTTAGTTAGCTTTGCTAACTTTAGTCTGGGTTAGCCTCAGTGGACCTGGTCCTCTGGGACAGAGAGAACTGGACCATGAGAACTAGACCATAGTCCTCTGGGACAGAGAGAACTGGACCATGAGAACTGGACCCTGGTCCTCTGGGACAGAGAGAACTGGACCCTGGTCCTCTGGGACAGAGAGAACTGGACCATGGTCCTCTGGGACAGAGAGAACTGGACCATGGTCCTCTGGGACAGAGAGAACTGGACCATGGTCCTCTGGGACAGAGAGAACTGGACCCTGGTCCTCTGGGACAGAGAGAACTGGACCATGGTCCTCTGGGACAGAGAGAACTGGACCATAGTCCTCTGGGACAGAGAGAACTGGACCCTGGTCCTCTGGGACAGAGAGAACTGGACCATGGTCCTCTGGGACAGAGAAAACTGGACCATGGTCCTCTGGGACAGAGAGAACTGGACCATAGTCCTCTGGGACAGAGAGAACTGGACCCTGGTCCTCTGGGACAGAGAGAACTGGACCATGGTCCTCTGGGACAGAGAGAACTGGACCCTGGTCCTCTGGGACAGAGAGAACTGGACCCTGGTCCTCTGGGACAGAGAGAACTGGACCCTGGTCCTCTGGGACAGAGAGAACTGGACCATGGTCCTCTGGGACAAACCTGTTTGCTGCAGAGGTCACAGAAAAACTTGAATCCTTCGGAACCGAATGTTTTGTCGCTAAAACATTCAGAGCATTCGACTGAGGCTCCGCCTCCACAGAGAACACACTCCTTCAGACCTGCAGACAGAGTGTTTGTTGTACAGTCTGACAGTGTGTTCGTTGTACAGTCTGACAGTGTGTTCGTTGTACAGTCTGACAGTGTGTTTGTTGTACAGTCTGACAGTGTGTTCGTTGTACAGTCTGACGGTGTGTTCGTTGTACAGTCTGACAGTGTGTTTGTTGTACAGTCTGACAGTGTGTTCGTTGTACAGTCTGACGGTGTGTTCGTTGTACAGTCTGACAGTGTGTTTGTTGTACAGTCTGACAGTGTGTTCGTTGTACAGTCTGACAGTGTGTTTGTTGTACAGTCTGACAGTGTGTTCGTTGTACAGTGTGGTACCTTCTTGCAGCAGGTCAGTCACGTCCAGTTCCAGAGATGGAATGATTTTCTCAAACATTTTGAACTTTTTTCCAAAACGAGGCATTTGTAAAATTAGGCACGAGGGGACCTGTGGAAGAGACCAGGTTTAGACCAGGTTTAGACCCACTCGAGTCTTGTATTTGTTCGGCTTTAGTTCTGCTTTAGACCTGCTTTAGACCTGCTTTAGACCTGCCTTAGACCTAATTTAGTCCTGCTTTAGACCTGTTCAGACCTGCTCTAGTCCTGCTTTAGACCTGTTCAGACCTGGTCCAGCTTAAGTCCGCTGCTGTAGAAGGACTTTTCCAGCAGCTGTTGGACTGAGGGTAAAACCAGACCGTGGTCCTGGTCCAAGAAGATCTGATAACAGAAAGAATCCTGGACCTTTCCTTCGGAACTCCTGATGGAACACAAGAGAGAGAAACAAGAGTGAGACCAGAGTGAGACCAGAGAGAGACCAGAGAGAGACCAGAGAGGGACCAGAGAGGGACCAGAGAGGGACCAGAGAGGGACCAGAGAGAGACCAGAGAGAGACCAGAGAGAGACCAGAGAGAGAACAGAGAGACCAGAGAGAGACCAGAGAGAAACCAGAGAGGGACCAGAGAGGGACCAGAGAGAGACCAGAGAGAGACCAGAGAGGGACCAGAGAGAGAGACCATAGAGAGAGACCAGAGAGAGAGACCAGAGAGTAAGACCAGAGAGAGACCAGAGAGAGACCAGAGAGAGACCAGAGAGACCAGAGAGAGACCAGAGAGAGAGACCAGAGAGAGAGACCAGAGAGGGACCAGAGAGAGACCAGAGAGGGACCAAAGAGAGACCAGAGAGGGACCAAAGAGGGACCAGAGAGAGACCAGAGAGAAAGGCCAGAGAAAGAGACCAGAGAGAGACCAGAGGGAGACCAGAGAAAGACCAGAGAGAGAGACCAGCGAGGGACCAGATAGAGACCAGAGAGAGACCAGAGAGGGACCAGAGAGGGACCAGAGAGAGACCAGAGAGAGACCAGAGAGGGACCAGAGAGGGACCAGAGAGAGACCAGAGAGAGACCAGAGAGGGACCAGAGAGAGACCAGATAGAGACCAGAGAGAGACCAGAGAGGGACCAGAGAGAGACCAGAGAGGGACCAGAGAGAGACCAGAGAGGGACCAGAGAGAGACCAGAGAGGGACCAGAGAGGGACCAGAGAGAGACCAGAGAGAGAGAGAGAGAGAGAGAGACCAGAGAGAGACCAGAGAGAGACCAGAGAGGGACCAGAGAGAGACCAGAGAGGGACCAGAGAGAGACCAGAGAGGGACCAGAGAGAGAGACCAGAGAGAGAGACCAGAGAGAGCAGAGATGTTGTTGTTACAGTTTGAGCAGTGGGTCCAGGTTCAGGATGTGCTGCATGAGGACGGTCAGGAACTCCTCTGGGTCTGAAACACATGTCACATGGTTTTCTAACTATGAAGACTTCAAAAACATCTACATCCTGGTGTTCCTCCATGGTGTTCCTCCATGGTGTTCCTCCTGGTGTCCCCCCTGGTCTTTCAGATCTCTGTACCTTTCTCGTCGGTCGTGAAGCTCTGACTGAAGCCGTGTCTCTGAAGTTGCCTCCTCAGTTTCATCACGTGACTTCCCTCCACAAAACCTTCTCTGAACAAACAAGGATCAAGAAAGTATTAGTATTAGTAGTAGTAGTAGTAGTAATAGTAGTAGTAGTAGCAGTAGTAGTCGTAGTAGTACCTTCTGAGTGGGTTGACGATGTCCTTCAGGAGGATGCTTTGAATTTCTTCGTCTTGAGTTGAAGTCGATTTAAACAGAAGTGAATCGAGAACTGACGAACAACAGAACAAACTGAGGAGAGAGGAGGAGAGAGGAGGAGAGGAGGAGAGGAGGAGAGGAGGAGAGGAGAAGATAGAAGAGAGATGGGACAGAAGGAGAGAGAAGAGAGGAGAGAGAGGAGAGGATGAGAAAGAAGGGGTGGAGGAGACAGGAAAGAGAGGAGGGAGGAGTAGCAAGAAGGAGAGGAGAGAGTAGAGAGAGGAGAGGAGGGGAGAGGAGAGGAGGGGAGAGGAGTGGAGGGGAGAGGAGGGGAGAGGAGAGAGTAGAGGAGAGAGGAGAGGAGAGGACAGGAGGGGAGAGGAGAGGAGAGAGGAGAGGAGAGGAGAGAGGAGGGGAGTGGAGGGGAGAGGAGAGAGGAGAAGAGAGAAGAGGAGAGAAGAGGAGAGAGGAGAGGGAAGAGGAGAGGTGAGGAGAGGAGAGGAGAGAAGAGGAGAGAGGAGAGGGAAGAGGAGAGGAGAGGAGAGGAGAGGAGAGAAGAGGAGAGAGGAGAGAGGAGAGAGGAGAGAGGAGAGAGGAGAGGAGAGAAGAGAGGAGTGAACGCCCCGTTTAGATTCTTGGAGTTTGGGTATTGTCCATTTGAATGCATGCATAAACCGTTTGGTGCTGGACAGATGTCAATGGGAGCAGTAGTGACACAGACACACCTGAAGAGGGCGCTGTCCATGTAGCAGGAGTTGTGGTGTCCCTGGATCCCTCTCATTCTGCCCACCAGGAGGCGCTCCACCTGCTCCGCCCCCAAAGGAGGCGCCGGCTCTAAGGACAGTCACCACAGTTCATTCATGACAACGTGCTTCGACAAATCCACTGATCGCTAACTTCATCTGTGGTCTGAGCGGTGCCTGCAGGGCTTAAATAGTCGGATACTCAGGTCTCTCTCTTTGGTCTCTGTTTCTGGGTTCTCTGGTCTCACTCTGGTCTCTCTCTCTGGTTTCTCTCACTGGTGTTGCTTTCTTTGATCTCTCTCTCTGGTCTCTCTCTGTTCTCTCTTCAGTCTCTCACTGGTCTCTCTCTCTGGTCTCTCTCACTGGTCTCTCTCTCTGGTCTCTCTCTCTGGTCTCTCTTTGGTCTCTCTCTCTGGTCTCTCTGGTCTCTCTCTGGTCTTACTCTCTGGTCTCTCTCTGGTCTCTCTCTGGTCTCTCTCTGCTCTCTCTCTGGTCTCTCTCTGCTCTCTCTGGTCTCTCTCACTGGTCTCTCTCTGGTCTCTCTCTGGTCTCTCTCTCTCTGGTCTCTCTTTGGTCTCTCTCTCTGGTCTCTCTTTAGGGTGCTTTCACACCTGTTGGTCCACTAAAGTGGTTCGCTTGGGCCCTAAAGTTGTTACAATGTTGCAGTTCTCAACTAGTTTGGTTCTCATTCACACCAGTGTTTTTGCAAATGAACCAACCACTGTGGATGTTACATATTCTGCCCATGTGGTGGCGCTGCCCACAAAATACTGTGTATTGGATGATGTATGTGAAACCTGATTGGTGCAGGATGTGAAGAGGGAAGAATACCAGAAGAAAACAAACTTGTCAGATCTTTAACGATGAACTGTGCTACTCTAGTGTGAGGCTATTTTTTTATCTTCATTGCTTTGTGCCGCACAAATACTGTTCCAGTTCCAGTATGTATCGCGGAGATCAGCACGAGAACACTCTGCGGCTGTTTTTGACTATTCTATCATATAAAAAAACAATGTGTGTGTTAAAAAGTGAACTACGCAACAGAGCAGGGCCACATTGAGGCCGGTCTGCGTTCTCACCAGCAGCAAACCAGACTGGAGTCCACATGGAACCGTACCGAGACCAGCTCCATATGGTGGTCTCGGTACGGTTCTTTAGTCCGGACCAAATTTAACTGGTCCACTTTCACACCTGCTCAAACGAACCGTACTTGCAGGTGTTCCAGACTCCAGTCCGTTTTAAGTGGACTAAATGGTGCAGGTGTGAAAGCACCCTGAGTCTCTCTCTCTCTGGTCTCTCTCTCTGGTCTCTCTCTGGTCTCTCTCTCTCTGGTCTCTCTCTCTCTGGCCTCTCTCTCTGGTCTCTCTTTAGTCTCTCATGGTCACTCTCTGGTCTCTCTCTCTCTGGTCTCTCTCTCTGGTCTCTCTTTAGTCTCACTCACTGGTCTCTCTCTCTCTGGTCTCTCTCTGGTCTCTCTCTCTGGTCTCTCTTTGGTCTCTCTCTGGTCTCTCTCTGGTCTCTCTCTCTGGTCTCTCTTTGGTCTCTCTCTGGTCTCTCTCTGGTCTCTCTCTCTGGTCTCTCTTTAGTCTCTCTCTGGTCTCTCTCTCTGGTCTCTCTTTGGTCTCTCTCTGGTCTCTCCCTGGTCTCTCTCTCTGGTCTCTCTTTAGTCTCTCTCTGGTCTCTCTCTCTGGTCTCTCTCTGGTCTCTCTCTCTGGTCTCTCTTTGGTCTCTCTCTGGTCTCTCTCTGGTCTCTCTCTCTGGTCTCTCTTTAGTCTCTCTCTGGTCTCTCTCTCTGGTCTCTCTCTGGTCTCTCGCTCTGGTCTCTCTTTAGTCTCTCTCTGGTCTCTCTCTCTGGTCTCTCTCTCTGGTCTCTCTCTGGTCTCTCTCTCTGGTCTCTCTTTAGTCTCTCTCTGGTCTCTCTCTGGTCTCTCTCTGGTCTCTCTCTGGTCTCTCTTTGGTCTCTCTCTGGTCTCTCTCTGGTCTCTCCCTGGTCTCTCTCTCTGGTCTCTCTTTGGTCTCTCTCTGGTCTCTCTCTCTGGTCTCTCCCTGGTCTCTCTCTCTGGTCTCTCTTTGGTCTCTCTCTGGTCTCTCTCTCTGGTCTCTCCCTGGTCTCTCTCTCTGGTCTCTCTTTGGTCTCTCTCTGGTCTCTCAGCAGCGCTCTGATCATTCCATCAATTTATATCATTATGAGAGTTACAGACGTCTGCAGATCTAAGACGGACCACATGGGGCACTGTAGAGCTGTATACATAAAACTGACCACAAGAGGGCACAATAGAACGTTATCAAGCCTGGGTCTGTCCTCACCTTTATCATCCGTGCTGTGATTGGCTTGAGCTTTCTTCAGAGGAGCACTGTGATTGGATGGGTCCCCACCAATTCGAGGGCTGTGATTGGCTTGTGAGAAGCGTGAGTCCGGGTGGCACGATGACAGCTTCACAAACAGTGCATGTTTGTCTGGACAGCGGAAATAGCGAATATCTTGGAAAGTTCCATCGCCGACTCCAATGGGCTCATCCTGCAGAGACCACATCACCCCAGTGTTTAGACCACACCCCCCCAGGGTTTAGACCACATCAGCCCAGTGTTTAGACCACATCAGCCCAGTGTTTAGACCACATCAGCCCAGTGTTTAGCCCACATCACCCCAGTGTTTAGACCACACCCCCCCAGGGTTTAGACCACACCAGCCCAGTGTTTAGACCACATCAGCCCAGTGTTTAGACCACATCAGCCCAGTGTTTAGACCACATCAACCCAGTGTTTAGCCCACATCAGCCCAGTGTTTAGACCACATCAGCCCAGTGTTTAGACCACATCAGCCCAGTGTTTAGACCACATCAGCCCAGTGTTTAGACCACATCAGCCCAGTGTTTAGCCCACATCAGCCCAGTGTTTAGCCCACATCAGCCCAGTGTTTAGCCCACATCACCTCGGTGTTTAGCCCACATCAGCCCAGTGTTTAGACCACATCAGCCCAGTGTTTAGATCACATCAGCCCAGGGTTTAGACCACATCAGCCCAGTGTTAAGACCACACCACCTCGGTGTTTAGACCACATCAGCCCAGTGTTAAGACCACACCACCCCGGTGTTTAGACCACATCAGCCCAGTGTTTAGACCACATCAGCCCCAAGTTGTGGAGCCGGGGGTCATCACGTCTCACCAGTTCCAGTCCAGCCATCGTGTGCTGAACTGCAGGCACAGTCCCGATCCACCGAACCGTCCCGAAGGCGTTTCCTTTTCCAAGAGTGATCTGCACCGCCGAGTCCAGACCGAGAGAGCTGGGCTGAGTGGGGTCTGCAGGGGGCGCAGTGGAGTCCGGATCCACGTATATGTCTTCTGAGCTCAGATCTTTATGTGCAGAAAAGGTTTTATTCACTATTACATAATCACAGCATCAGCACCAGAGTGAGACCAGAGAGAGACCAGAGAGAGACCAGAGAGAGACCAGAGGGAGACCAGAGGGAGACCAGAGGGAGAGATCAGAGAGAGACCAGAGAGATACTAGACGGAAATCAGGAGACATTTTCTCAACCGTGTTTTGTTGCGTTTTATCTTGTCCTTTTTTGTTAACCTAAGTCGATTCAGTTGAGATAAAATCATTGAGCCTAAAGTGTTGGAGTGACCATGGTCCCCCCACTGTCTCCTGCGGCGGTGAGTGAAGCACCTGCTCCTGGATCCACTCTGTCCAGTTTGGCCACACTCTGCAGAGGAACTTTGACGGTTGTAGAGGCGCCCTGTACACAACAAAGGTCACACCCTTGAGCAGATGGTCTGAGACATCAATCAAGCAATCACATTTATTTATAAAGCACAAACATATTGTATTAATAAATTCAGTTAAAAAGTCAAAGTTGTTCAAACAATTAAAAGATAAATGCTTCAATTTAGGACTCTGGGACCAGAAGGAGGCCAGTCCCTGTGCTCCTCAGAGTCCCAGCAGGAGGCCAGTCCCTGTGCTCCTCAGAGTCCCAGCAGGAGGCCAGTCCCTGTGCTCCTCAGAGTCCCAGCAGGAGGCCAGTCCCTGTGCTCCTCAGAGTCCCAGCAGGAGGCCAGTCCCTGTGCTCCTCAGAGTCCCAGCAGGAGGCCAGTCCCTGTGCTCCTCAGAGTCCCAGCAGGAGGCCAGTCTCTGTGCTCCTCAGAGTCCCAGCAGGAGGCCTGTCTCTGTGCTCCTCAGAGTCCCAGCAGGAAGCCAGTCTCTATGCTCTGAGTAGGTTCACATGGCACTATCTTTCTGATTGGAGTTTGCATGTTCTCCCTGTGTCTGCGTAGGTTTCCTCCAGGTGCTCTGGTTTCCCCTACCACTAAAATCATGTACAAACCTCCAGCTCTGGTCCTGACCAAAAGCATCAACATCTAGAGGTGTTGATGCTCCTGACCGAGGCCCTAGTGGCATCAGGATGTTGGACAAAATAATTTAAATGATAAAAAGCTGATGTTACTGAGATGATGTGCAAGAGAAAATTAATCTCTGAATCCAGGACTAGACGTAAATGTGAGCATCGTCAGCCTCATTGTGGACACATTTACACCGTGAATGAACTGGTCAAGTAGATGTGCTCCAGAAACAAACATCTCAGCTAGACCTGAGCTCATGATGGAAGTTAGCCCTGGACTCACCGAGATGTAGACCATGGTCCCAATACTACTGGGCTCCACAAACACCACAGCGCCCTCTACTGTCTGATCGCTGTCATTGATGAACACGACCGGATCTCCCGCCTGCAGTGTGGAGCTCGGGTCAAAGTCTGGTCTGGTCTCTGCTCCAGTCTCCAGACCAGGTCCAAGCTTCTCTGGAGACCTGAGAGGAGCCAAACAATGTATTGCATTTAAATGTACAGCACCTTTCACAGACACAGGGTGGTGACAACCCAGGAGTGATGTGGTCCTCACACAAGCAACACAATGACACACAACTAAAGCAGCACCAGTCGCAGTCTCCAAACTAGCCCTGAGGTCTTTCCACGTAATGGTTTTCTTTTTTGGGTTCAGTGAGAAACCCGAGAGAGACCAATGAGAGACCATAGAGAGACCAGAGAGAGACCAGAGACCAGAAAGAGCGATCACAGAGAGATACCAGAGAGATACCAGAGAGAGATCAGAGAGAGATCACAGAGAGAGACCAGAAAGAGAGATCACAGAGAGAGACCAGAGAGAGACCAGAAAGAGAGATCACAGAGAGAGACCAGAGAGAGACCAGAAAGAGAGATTACAGAGAGAGACCAGAGAGAGACCAGAAAGAGAGATCACAGAGAGATACCAGAGAGAGACCAGAGAGAGACCAGAAAGAGAGATCACAGAGAGAGATCACAGAGAGAGACCAGTGAAAGAGACTTGATAAGGCAGAGAAAGACCAGGGAGAGACCACAAAGAGACGTCAGCAAGAGTGAGACCAGAATGAAATCTGTGATACCAGAGACTAGGTACAACGGGTGCAACTGTTCCCAGTGACATGGAGAGAGTGTCCAGGGAGGAATCAGAGAGAGATTGGTTGGAGAAAAAAGACAGAGACCAGAGAGAGACACCAGAGAATTTGAAATTAAAATGTTTTTTTGGGGCGACAGTGGCTCAGTTGGCAGAGCATTGCCCTTTAGGCCTGAAGGTCGTGGATTTGAGCCCACCACGAGACTTACTTCACCTCGTTGTGTCCTTGGGCAACCTGAAGCCCCCACTGAAAGATCTCAGCTCCTGTGGACTCACCACCTGCAGGAGGATCAGTGAGGGGCTGGTGCTCTGTGGACTGGCCAAACAGCTCTGACTGCCACCCCCCCCCCATATCTGGGCCCTTTTCCATGTCATGTGTCTCTTTTTGAGAATCTGTAGAAGAGCTGTTCTCTCAGGGCTCAAACTCACCTGCTTTGCGGAGGTCTAAACCTGGACTTCACATGGATCATATCCTTGGCGTCAGTTTTGGGCTCATCAGGGCCATGTGCACTGTCTGAGTCTGAAGGAAGAACACGGGTCAAAGACTGCTCAGTGGACAATGGGACAGAGGAGTTTCTGACCTGAGACAGACGGCAGCTTCACAACGCTCTTCAGAGACATCATGATGGGGCTCCCATGACCACCATGCTAAAACACACCTTTAGGGTTAGGGTTTCACAACACATTTAAAACAGTTTCACGATGCTCTTCAGAGAGACTATGGCGGATATTCAAAATAACCTTATTTGAAAATGATCTGAAAGACCAGACCAGAGCAGAACATTTAGATCTGAGTCACTCCTACAGTGGATTATGAGAAAGGTGAACAGCATTTTAGTGATAAACCGCTGTAATAGAAGGTCACAGACAGAAACAGCAGGGTCCATTCATTTACAGATGTGTAAAGAAGTGTGACTCACATGGACATGCACTACCCGCTCCTCCACCTGCACCACAGTGCCCTCTACTGGCCGACCCTCCACAGAGAACTGCACCCAGTCTCCTGGTTGGAGGTCCACTGGTCCAG